GTGATATGTTTTAAAGTAGTCAGTTAGAGTTACTTAGATACAGAGATATCACAGAGAAAATAGCTTAACTTCAGATGGAGATCCTCTGAACAGCTGCACACTCAGTTAATCCAAACAGGAAGATATCTGTCTATAATCCAGATGAAGCTAACCCATTACATAGATTACAGGCATGTCTGAAGACATAAAAACCTGGATGACTCTTAACTTTCTGCTTCTGAATGCAGACAAAACAGAAGTTATAGTCTTTGGACCAGAGTCTCTGAAAAAGAAGCTGATTAGTCAGTCACTTCATTTGGATGGGATTAAACTGATTTCAGATAATAAAGTAAAAAATCTTGGTGTTATTTTTGATCAGGACCTGTCATTTAAATCCCAGATCAAAGAGGTTTCTAGAATTTCCTTCTTTCATCTGAGGAATATTGCAAAAATGAGCAATCTCCTGTCCAGGGGTGATGTTGAGAAACTAGTCCATGCATTTGTTACTTCAAGGATGGACAATTGTAATTCTTTACTATCAGGAAGTCCACAAACTGTAGTTAAAAGCCTTCAGCTGATCCAAAATGCTGCAGCCAGAGTTCTGATGAAAATGAAAAAGAGAGATCATATCTCTCCTATCCTGGCTTCTCTTCATTGGCTTCCTGTTAAATCCAGAATAGAATTTAAAATCCTCCTTCTCACATATAAAGCCTTAAATGGCCAAGCTCCATCTGATATCAGAGATCTGATTGTTCCTTATGTTCCTAACAGAGCACTTCGCTCTCAATCTGCAGGTTTACTAGTGGTTCCTAGAATTTCTAAAAGTAGAATGGGAGGCAGATCTTTTAGTTCTCAGGCTCCTCTCCTGTGGAACCAACTACCAGTTTTAGTCCGTGAGGCAGACACCCTGTCTACTTTTAAGGCTAGGCTTACAACTTTCCTTTTTGATAAAGCTTCTAGTTAGAGTGGCTCAGGTTATCCTGATCTATCTCTATAGTTCTGCTGCTATAGGCTTAGACTGCTGGAGGACATAGGGACCCCTTTTTCATCATTCTGCTTCATTCTATCTCTATTCTCCCACTCTGCAGAATCTGTTAGTTCAATCTCTAACGTTCTGCTCTCTCTGCTTTTTCTCATAGTAGCTTCATCTGGTCTGTTCCTGTTTGGCTGTGACTCCATCCTGGAGAGAAATATCAGCTGTGCTGCTGCCATCAACACCTTTGTTTCTAGATGTTGGAGCTTGGCCTGTTTGTTTCTAACACTGAGTCTGGTTCTGCTGGTGGTTTCTTCCTGTTTGAAGGGAGTTTTCTTTTCCACTGTCACTACAAGCATGCTTGGTGTGAGGGATTGCTGAAGATTCAATATCTCCTGTCTCTACCTGCTCATCTAGGACGGGAGAATTCCGTCAAGTCAATGACTTAATGATCTGATTGATCTGGGTGTATAAAGTGACCTGATGTGAACTGGAGCACAGAAAGTTACCAAGACTAAGACAATTTTTATTGTCATTTTGTACAGCTTTCAAATTGTAAAAGAACATTTCCATTTCATTAAGTGCAGCAGTGATTAAATGTAAACAGTGTGGGAGAAAAACGAGGTGCAAAATGCATCAACTGAATTGAATGTGACGTCACAGAAAACCACAGAAACTTAAGGAAAATCTCACCACTCTAAAATAGTTGAAAAATGGTGAAACTGAAATAACATGAATATATTTCCTTTGCCAGTCAGAATATTAAAGTGTTTACATAAACAAATAGAGAAGAAGGGTTAGTTTTCTGTTTCTCTTTGCCTCACATGTTCCCGAACACTGATTCACTGTTTAGTTTCACCTACTTTTTCTCAGTAAAGATGGTTCTGACTGGCTCTGCAGCGTGTGGAGCTGGAGCTATGTGGGTGAACAAAGCCCTGATAGTGATAGAGTACAATTGCCCTTTAACAGAAAGAAACCTTCAGCAAAACCCAGCAGGATGTGACTTAAAGCTGGTCAGACAGTCATGGCGGGGGGGGGGGGGGGGGTCATTTTTGAGAGAAGAAGTTACTCTGCAGGAAAATCCTCAGCCAGAATAAAAGGTGGAGTTTTTCAGCCAGACCAGTTTACTCTTTTTGCAACAGTCAAAGTTCCAAACAAAGCGAGATTGAAACAAGATCCAGGTGTTATCAGACCAGAATTACTTCATTAATCCCTTGTGGGAGATTCTTTTCCTGCAGTGCCACTGTTTATAGAAGAGAGAAAAATAAGTATAAATAAGATATAGGAATAAAATAAGGATAAGAATACAATAAGACCACAGTATTTAGAAACATTCCTTACAATTTACAACGTTGCTCAGCAACAAATTATAATTCAGTGTGCTGCTCCAGCACACAACAGCATGAAGGGAGCGATTTGAGCAAAGAGCCTGGAGTTCGAGTCCCACTCCCACAGACTGGCACTCTAGGTTCCTCAGCAAGACCCTTAACCCCACTCTGCTCCCCTGGCGCCGCACAATGGCAGCCCGCTGCTCCCCTGGAGCCGCACAGTGGCAGCCCGCTGCTCCCCTGGTCCCGCACAATGGCAGCCCGCTGCTCCCCTGGAGCCGCACAGTGGCAGCCCGCTGCTCCCCTGGTCCCGCACAATGGCAGCCCGCTGCTCTCCTGGCGCCGCACAATGGCACTGCATATTTGCACTGTATATATATTAATGCTCTGAACTTCTATATCAATGTTTTTTTTTGCTGCACTTTAAGGAATGGAAAGGTCATCAGAGCTGCACAAAATAAAATTTGCTGTGAAAGTGGGACCATCACAGGACGGATGGAGTGGGGGCTGCAGGTAAGCTTTGTTCACAGAATCAAATCTGTTGAAAAACAGATTGAAGTTGATTCATGTCGGCTACGTTCAAACTGCCTTCCTCTCCTCTACTGATGGATGGTCTGAAGCCACACCTCTCTCATCTTGTTTTGCGGGAGTTTCCACCTCTGTTTGTCCTTGGCTTCACTAATCTTCATCTTCAGCTACTTCTGGATGGTTCGCCCTGCCAGGTCTGAAAGTCCTCTCCTCCTGTTAAGGACGATCTTTATGTCCTTTATACCCAAATAAAAAGCTGTGGGTGACAAAGGACAGCCTTTGGTGGGATGGTGGTGCTGACGCAGAAGTTGATGTAATCAGAGACACAATCTGTCAGCCCATCAATGTCCTCATTAGAACCTTTGCTGAAAGGTGTGAGCTAAGATGTCTTTTACAGATTCAAACATCTCAGATGTTCTGTCACATGCCTCCCTTCCCAAAATCAGTGCTGTGACCGTATTTCCTGTGCTGCTTCCTGATCAGAGGAAGTGGTGAGGAGGACATATGGTTGTGGTCAGAGCGCTCCTCTAACCAGCAGGGAACATCTACCCAGTATGTTTTAACCCAGAACAAGGAGGAAAGGTGATGGACAGAACCCCTGAATTATTGAGGACATGGGGGCAGCAGCGGCTCAGCAGCCTCTTCTGGAGCCTGGAGATGAGCAGCCAAGCAGAAAGTGTGTCATTTATTCTTCAGGCGCATCCATGAGTCATGAAGACAAGCAGAACACTGCTGGAGCCGAAGGGGCAAAAGAAACAGTTGCTAAGGAGACCCTGGTTCTGTCCTGATTGCATCGACTCATTGACTCTTCAGCAATCCCTCACACCAAGCATGCTTGTAGCGACAGTGGAGAGGAAAAACTCCCTCAGTGTGAGCGGCCATCTGCTGAGGCCGACTGGGGAGACAGAAGCAGGCTGACTGGTTCTGTCCTGACTTGTTCCGTTCTGACTGGTTCTGTCCTAAGTGGTTCTGTTCTCACTGGTTCCATCCAGGGTGGTTCTGTTGTGACTAGTTCTGTCCTGACTGGTTCCTTTCTTACTGGTTTTACCTTGACTGGTTCCATCCTCACTGATTCTGTGCTGACTGGTTCTGTCTTCTGTCCTAAATGGTTCCGTCCTGAATGGTTCTGTGATGACTGGTTCTGTGATGACTGGTTCCATTGGGAGCGGTTCTACCCTAACTAATTCCATTCCAACTGGATACGATCCAACTGGTTCCATTTTGACTGGATCTACACTGACTGGTTCTGTCCAGACTTGTTTGTTTCTTACTGGTTCGATCCTGACTGGTTCTGTTCTGACTGGTTCAATTCTCGCTAGTTTTGTCCTGACTGGTTCAGTTCTTCTTGGTTCTGGCCTGACTGGTTCTGTACTGACTGGTTCCGTCCTGAATGGTTCTGTTCTGACTGGTTCTGTGATGACTGGTTCCATCGAGAGCGGTTCTACTCTAACTAATTCCATTCCAACTGGATGCGATCCAACTGGTTCCATTCTGACTGGATCTACACTGACTGGTTCTGTCCAGACCTTTTTGTTTCTTACTGGTTCTGTCCTGAGTTGTTCCGTTGTGACTGGTTCCATTCTGACTGCTTCTGTTCTGACTGGTTCCTGCTAAGGAATACTGCTCTCTGACTGCCCTGGGGAAGGAGGGGTGTGTGTGTGCATGGTTTCCATGGTGATGAGAAACAGGGCAGTAACCATGTGACCCTCTGAGTACCTTAGTGCTTCGACCGCCCATCTCACTCTCTCTATCTGTGACATCACAGAGATGTGACACTGGTTTAAGGCGCCAGTAGAAGAGGATCAGAGAGCTGTGAGGTGTTGAGGTTCTGATCCGTTCCACGGTTCTGGTCTCTTCTCTGGGTCAGACATTCAGCAGTGTTAATTTTTCACTTCCTTTAAATCTTGATTTCTTTGAACAAAAGGTTCAGTTTCAGAACCGCTCTGATTGAAGGCAGGGTTCCACTGTGGTTCCAGATCCAAACATTCAGGATGTTCTGCTGATTTTTGGCTCCCTTTTCAGAGAAGAACTTTGTGGACGTTGAAGGTGTTTTCGTCCTCTGCTGGTTCTTTTCCTTTGGTTCTGGTCAGGTTTTGGTGTCCACCGTATTCCGATGTTCTGGAAGAACGCTGCCTGGTCTTGGGATGATGCCGCAGGGGATGAGGATGATGATGGTGGGTTTCTGCTTGCAGCTGACCTCAGAAGGACTCCGGACTCGGCTCCAGACACTGACCTAACCTGGACCGGCACCATGGCCAGCACCACGCGGTCCATCAGTAATGCGGCCACCTCATGTGGACCCAAAGAAACTACCCGCCACAGCATGGTGTCTGGTCGGATTGGCAGCCAAGAACCGGACCAGGGCAACTACAGTGGCTGTGTCTCCTCTGGGTTCTGTGGACCACAGCACGCAGCCGTGAGTACATACCCACCAACCATCAGAACCTTCGAAAAACTGGGGTCAGTGATTAGGTTAACAAGGTCCAAAATGGACTTTAGTTCTGGGTGGGTTCTGGTGTTCGACAGGATGAAGGCTCATCATTATGTGGGTTGAAGAGCAGGGAACCAATCAGATCACTTCAGAACCAGTGATGAATCAAATGAAGCTGCGGCTCATAAACCATCAAACAGTTCGGCTGGAACTGATCCGATCCAAAGGAACCAGCTCAGTTTATAGCTCAGAAATCCAAATCCTTTCTTTTTCTCTGAATCATTTCCTGTTGCTCTTTCATCTGTGAAGGTCCAAACTGACTGATATCTGGGTCGTGCTTTAGAACCGGCCCATTTGATTCTAAATAAAAGACGCTGCAGAATCATCTGCAACTGTTTTTTTCTAAAACACAAAGTTCCTGTTAGAGTACAGGAACTCTTTGCCCCAGAGTGATCCAGCTTTGGACTTCAGATCTCTCACTGGTCCATCAGAACTGAGCCTGGTATCTCCATCTGCTCAAGTTTGGATCCGGGAGTCTGAACAGGAGGACGTTGATGCATAGCATCACTCTTATCAGGCCGCTTGAGTTCAGTTCTGATGGATCGGTAGGTTCTGTGTCTAAAAGCAACAGCCTGGTCCAAAGTCTGAATTAGAGCTCAAAACAGCACAGATCAGTAGAACCAGCACAGAACCGTGAAAAAGTTGAACCACAACCCTCGATTCCGACATAATTTCAAGCAATGTCGTCCTGAAGGGACTCGTGTCCAGAGCCAGGACCAGGAACCAGACTGGTCCAAAGCCAGTGGGCTGCAGACATGTTCAGTTTTGGCCACACCCTGAAATTCAAACAGACAGTAAGAAGCTGTGATAGGGTCTGGAGGTCTGAACTATCCTAGGAGCAGGTCATTGTCAACCGGACCAGAACCAGTAGAGCCCATTGATGGCTTAGTCTGGACCCGCTTTACATCCTTCTTTTGCACAGTACGGGGACTTAGATCAGACCCGGTTCTTTTTGTAATCCTCGTGGCATCTTGCTGTGTCCCCTGCCCATTCTGGACCCAGTTTGGACCCGGTCCAGGCCCGTCCTGACTTGTTGAGGAAGTGTGTGTCTTATCGGAGAGACACATCCCCTGTTTTCTCTCTAGCCCAGAGTGTGCATGCTTCCTGCTATTATTCTCACTGCTGGTTCCCACACACACACACTTCCAGTCCTCATGTGAGCCTCTATGCTGGTCACACTGGTTCTGCCCAAACACCTGAGCCTGGATTTGTCTGGATCTGAGAACCCGACCTGCTGATTATTTTAACATTTGGGTTCCCTGCTAGAACACACAGACCTACACTGTTGTGCTGCTAGTTCTATTTTATCTGGTCTGGATCTTTTTGGACTTTTGGATCACAGCCGATCCTGGACGTGTGATTCTGCCCTGAGGACGGCGTGGGTCGAGGTTCTGGTTCAGCTGTGCAGAAGGATCCGATGGAGGGCTGGTTTTGCTGACCCACCATGCACACCATCCACCGTCTGTGCAGAGAATGCATCGGACAGAACCTACCGCAGGTCTGAGTCTCAATGATTTAACAGCTGGTTCTGGATGCAGTCGGGTTCTGAATGAGTCTGTCAGACAGCAGGACAGACGGATTCGTCTGATTGGCTGTTAGAGAAGCTTTTAGTAGCAAACTAAAAACAGATGTGACATCACAACTGAGTGATGAATCTTTAATGGCTGCATGTTCACAGCCGCTGGGGGGTGGATGGTGGTGGGAAGGGAGGGGGGTTCATTCAGTCTCATGAAAGAACAGCTAATGAACCTCTGATCAAACACTGGATGAAGTAGATCTTTGTTCCTTTCCTGCTGAAGCACCAGAACCAGAACCACTCCTTACTCAGACCAGAACCAGAGACGTCCCAAAACTGACTCTTTTAGCGTCCACCCCAGATTAGTAGGTTTAAACAGAGGGAGGTTCTGGTTCCGCTCAGGTACTGGGTCGTTGCTCTGTCTGTATTGTTGCCCAGACTTTAGAGTTCTGGGTCTCATAGTCCTGTCCTTGTTTGAACAGAGTAATAAACAGGACCAGGGAACAGAACCCTCAACCAGAGTGTCTGTGATGTGTACATACCTTCTCCGTGGTGCTGGTCTCCTCAGGCTCTGCAGGGGTTTTAATATGAGCCTGTCAGTCTAAACTCAGGGACATTTAATTCGCTTTGTTTAGGGTTGAGTCCCAGGATGAGTCGACCTTTTCGTCGCTCTGGCTCTGTTTGCAGAGTCATGGAAACAGCTCAGAAACCAGGACCCAACCGAGCCTCAGAACTGGACCTGACACAAACAAAGCCCAAGAACAATACCAGGAAGAACAAATGCAGAACCGCCTGCCAACTCAAACCAGAAGCAGCACTCTGACAGGAGACGATCAAACAGAAACAATCAGTTCAACATCTGCAGGTTCTGGTTCAGACACAATAGGAAGGGATCAGGGTAACTTTTCGGTTCTAGATCAAATCCCTGGATCTGTCTTTTATTCATAAACTTAGAGTCTAATCTTGATGACTGCTGAGGCCCCCTAGTGGTTGTTTTATGCTAGCACCCCTGGACACGCCCATCTTCTGTTCCTAGTTCTGTGCTGCTCTGGATCCAGGACGGTCGTCTGGAAGATCCTCCGACCTGAATCTGATGAGCTGCAGGTTTTGTTTCCAACCTGTTCTGATCCACTTCTGCTCTAAATGCTCTGAACTGTTTCCTGCAGGTAAGCATCATTCGAGGCAACGACGGGTTTGGATTTACAATCTTCGCGGATTGTCCGGTCCGAGTCCAGGCGGTTGATCCAGGTGAGCTTCCCATGGATGTACTGACACACACGTATGATGTAAGCTCACATCCGGCAGGCGGTGCATACCTCTCATCCCTTCTTTGGTTGTTACCATGGGAAAACACCTCAGACCTAGTTACAAGGTTAGAGAGAAAATGAACTTTGTGAGAACAAAGACATCAATAGATGTTGGAGACCAGGCAGAGAAGGCTTTGTGGTTGAGAGGTTACCAGCTTTAGGTAAACACAAACAAGTTTAAACTGGTTTCAGATTGGTGAAATGTCAGAGTTTATAATGGACCTGAGAACCGAGGATACTGCCTAAACTGGTCTATTTAACATTTCTGCAGAGTGGATTTAAACTGGATACATAACTGGTTTTAATTTGGAGATAACCTTAAATTAACTGGTTCAAATGGTTGCCTCCTACCTAGCCCACTTCCAGGATTTATTAAACTGGTTAAAGCTGGATGAACCCCAGCAGAGCAGGGGTCTGCAGATCTGCTGACCCACTTTGGTTTTGTTGTAGGAGGACCAGCTCATCAGGCAGGACTCTGTCAGGGAGACTCAGTTCTTCAGCTCAATGGACTTCCTGTAGAGACCTGGAAATGTGCGGACCTTGCCCAGGCCATCAGGTAAGCTTGGTCAGATAGCCCCACCCCCTTGTAATTGCTCCCTGTAGAGATGAGGTCTGGTTCTGGTTCCTTTAGCAGTGTTGTCTCAGATGGGTTCTGTTAGGGGTTAAGTGGATGTGTCGCTTCAGGAGCTGTCCCTCCCAGGTTGTCCTGGTGGTCTGGAGAGGTTTACCTGAGTTGAGCTCAGCTCATCAGACTTTGCTCCACCCACAGGTTCGTAATTCGGTGAGTGTGCTCGGCCGCTACCACTGCCATCACTGAGGTGTTTATGCTGGGTCTCTGCTGGTTCTGTTGCATCTCACAGAATCATTTCTCTGTTTCCTAGATAACAACCAACCAGTTACTGCCTCACCCCGCCCACAGCAAACACAGCCGCAGAGCGGTGCAGGGCCGGGAACACCGCTCCGGTCTGGGGGTTCTGGGTTCCCTGTGGAGAGGCAGGAGGGAGGACCAAGATCAGGAGGACAATGGGGGGCAGGAGATATGTTCCACGATAAAAGGCACCAGAATTACATCATCAACTGGAGACAATTACATCATCCTGTCACCTGTAAACCAAGGAGAGCAGGTGAGTCACAGTGGGCAGATTTACAGTCCGATGGACCTCAAATTCCCCTGAACCAGAACCAGACACATTCAACTCAATACCCTGAAGCAGAACTACTGATCCTGAAAGCCCTTTAAGTGGAACCATCACTTTAGTAGCGGCTGAGGCTTGTACCAAGAGTGGAATATTTAACACTATTACAGACTTAGAACTGTATCACTTTTTAAAAAGTTATTTGCACCCAGCATCATACTGTGAACTGAATAATCTCCTGAACCTAACCCACACATTAATTAGAGTCTGCCTTGGTTCTGATGGTTCTGTCAAAGTTTTGCTACTACCATAAGATGCTCTTGGTTCTGTTTTTCAGCTCCCACATCCGGGTTACAGTGGCACAAATGGGACCATTGGTACGTCTGTTCTGACCTGAACTGATTCAGACTCAGTATTGATGAACACATTGTTTGGACTGATGGAACTGGTTCTGGTTCTGTAGGTCGTCTGTACCAGACTGATCCAAGCAGAACTCAAAGTCTCCTCCATAATCCTCGAACTTGGATGTCTCAGCGAACTACAACAAGCCAAAACTCTACTCTGCCTGTTCTACAACCCAGAACCATGGTGCTGGGTCCACCTGGTAACCATGGAAACTACCAGAACTGTACCATCGTTCAGTCCCATCTTCCACGGTCCAGTTATGGAAAATATGCCTCCCTTCCACCCAAAACTCTCTTCTTCCCCATCTTTGTCCAGGTCAGAACCATTTCCCCGACCTTTCAGAACTACCGTAGAACTGTTTGGACAGAGTTGGCTTAGTTCCTCTGCTCTGAGCAGATGTTCAATAGTTCCTCAATTCAATTCAATTCAGTTTATTTATATAGCGCCAAATTCACAACACATGTCATCTCAAGGCACTTTACAGTTCAACCAGATCATACAGTCAAATTGATACAAAACTCAACCTCAAAATGTTTTTGTTCTTGTGCTTCTGTGCTTTTTTCAGCCTCTGGATCTCTGCAGCCCGGACAGAACCCTGTGTATGGCTGAGGAAATGACCCTACATAAGGCCAACCTGCTTCCTTCCAAGGTACCAGGGACCTGTTCTGGTTCTGATCCATTTCAGCTCAAAAAGGAGCTCCTGGATCCTGATGAGCTCCTGGATCCCGAGGAGCTCCTCAGGAGCTTTTAGATCCCGAGGAGCTCAGTGACCATGTGGAGCTTCAGGAACTCTCAGCTGGTTCCTGAGGAGCTCCTGGATCCTGGGGAGCTCCTTTGGATCCTGGGGAGCTCCGTGACCATGTAGAGCTTCAGGAACTCTCAGCTGGTTCCTGAGAACAGCTTTTGTCTCCTTTCCAGGTGACTGTGCTGATCTACAGCGACCTGCTGCTGCTTACCAGAGAGGATGATGCTGGTCGATGCAGTGTCCTTCAGAGCCCGCTATACCTGAAAATGGTCCAGTTTAGAGAAGGTAGCGTGGTGTCAGCAGAGCCAAAAGCCCCCTATGGAGGCTCTGTTCTTCAGACAGTAGCAGCAGTTTCCTCTCCTAGAAGAGAGAATCCAGCTGAACCTGTCCAGGTGGAGCTCTAATCTTCATCAGGCTGTAGGATGTGATTGTTTTCTGTTTTCCTTCTCCAGTTCCATCAGAACCACTCCACATCTACTTCCTGCAAAAATCTGACACCTGCTGGTGCTGCCTTTTCAGTTTAGAAGCATTCAACATCCAGCAGAAGCTCCGGGTCTGCCTCTGTCTCCACAGCAACATACAATCCCACATGGTTACCATGGAGACCCCACTACCATACCAGGTGAGCTCCAGCATGTCCATGATGGATCCAGGTTTCTGAACCAGGATTTCCAGCAATATTCACCAGAACTTCCTGTTGACTTGGATGTTTAAAAATAACCTGGCCTTTGCCCCTCATCCCCACCACCCCACCCCCACCTCCTTCCAGTTCTCAGACCTCCCTTCAGATTTCGACCTGCTGTCTCTCAGTCAGTCCAGCTTCCCTGGTGGCCCATCCTCCCCCTACTCCTCTCTCTCTGACCCCTGCAGACCCCCCTCCCCCTATTCCTCTCTCTCTGCCCCCTGCAGACCCCCCTCCCCATACTCTCACCGATCCCATCTCCCCTCGTCCTCCATGGCTTCCCCTATAGGCCTTCCCTCCCCTCCCCTGGAAACAGTCCCCTCTCCACCTCAATACCTTTCTTTATCTCCCTCCTCCTTCCCTACTCCGAGGAGTCCAGTCTGGAAACAAAGAGATGACACAGAGGAAGAGAGGGTGAAGAGGAGGGAAGAGGGGGAGGAGCGGCAGCAGGGAGAGGGGGAGAGTTCCTCTGAAACGTCAGAGAGTTTGGGGGGATTTGTGGGCAAGGGCCTCCTGCTAAGCCCCCAGCATATCAATATATATAATGAAGAGGATGATAGTCCAGAGGAGGAAGATGAAGAGGAGTTAATCTGCACACCTACAGGTCAGTCCTTCAGTCAGTCCAGATGTTTTCCTGAATACAACTGTAGAGCTTCTAATGCTCTAAAACTTGGTGCAAAAAATTGGTTCTGCTGGTTCTATTTTCTTCATGTTTCATAAACGACCATCAGTCAGTCTTTGAGTACCGAGTCCCACTTCATGTTTGGTACCTTAACCAGTATATATCCACTCCAAACATTTTAAGAAGATAAACAGAACTCTGTAGTTAAAGAAAACACAACAACTTCCAAGACTACAGTTAGAGCTCTCAAGAAAACAACAAGAACTTCTAAGACTACAGCTACGACTTCCAAGACTATGGCTAGGACTTCATAGACAACAGCAAGAACTTCCAAGACCACATTAACTTCCAAAACTAAAGTTAGAATGTCCACAACTACAACAAGAACTTTCAAGATTACAGTGAGAACTTCCAAGACTTTAATAATTTACATGACTACACTTAGAATTTCCAGGAGAACAGCTAGAACTCCTAAGAGAACAGCAAGAACTCCTAAGAGAACAGCTAGAACTTACAAGACAGCTGCTAGAATGTCAAAGACAACAGCTAGAATGTCAAAGACAACAGCTAGAATTTCCAAGACTACAGCTAGAACTTCAGACTACAGCTAGATCTTCCAAGAAAAATTTTTTCCAGCTTTTTTTTTTTTTTTTAACTGTCATTACACTGTCAGAAGTACAGAGCAATGGAATTCACTTTCTGGATTTAACCCATCCTCTTGGGGAACAGTGGGCTGCCATTGTGTGGTGCCTCTGGGGTGGTGAGGGTTTGCTCAGGGATCCAGAGTGGCAGTCTGTGGGAGTTGGGCTTGAACTCAGAACCTCTGGATTCCAAGGGCAATGCCCCAACCACTAGACCACAACTCTCTGAGACTAGGCCGCCACTCCCTTAACAGCAAGAACCTCCAAGACTATAGCTGGAACTCCCAAGACAACAGCAAGAACAATACCAAGACCAAGACTAATACCAGAACTCTCAAGATTACAGTGAGAACTTCCAAGACTATAATAATTTCCAAGACTTTAACAAGAACTTCCATGAGACAACCTAGAACTTCTTAGACTATAGCAAGAACGTCCAACACAACAGTTAGAACTTCTAATACCACAAGAGATTCCAAGACTTAAGCTAGAACGTAAGAGAGTTAAATTGATTGATCTGCTTATTGATTGTTTTCTTATATTCTTTTATTTGTTGTTCTATTCTAGTTCTCAGACGCTCAATCTCTGAGGGATCCTTGCTAAAGGAACCTAGATCGCCCCGCTTCCCGTCAGACAGCACCATCCACCGCCTTATACTTGCATCAACCTTTGAACTAAGCAACACCCTTGTTTCCTCCCCTTGTCCCAATTCCCCTCTAACTCTAAAGAAACAACTGACCAAGGAGGGTGGATCTCTGAACCAAATGCTGCTGCTGCTCAACAGCTCTAAGGTAGGGACCAGAACCAGGAATTGGCCAACTTCACAATCCAACAGCTGACATGCTGCAAATGATGAGTTCAAGACAAACCAGTAGGACCGAAGCAGACCGATAATGATCACTGTGTAGATTTTTAGAGACAAGAATACACAAGGCCTGGCGGAGAGGGACCCGTGCAGATTTACTCAGCCTACAGGGCGACAGTCACATAAGATGCAGGAGTTTGTCCTGCAACTGGAGCGTCACCAGTTCAACCCCTAGTACTGTTTTTCTTTTGAGAAAAATGGATGCAGGCTTCAAGGGTTAAACAACTTATGTTCTCCTCTGACCTCAGTCTTCTGACTGTCAAATGACCCAGTGGACCTCTGTGAGAAGCACCGCCAAAGCTGTCTGTGGAGCTTCTTAGGCCTCTGGCTGCTGTTTAAGTGGTCTGAGACTAATCAGATCTCAAATTGGTTACCATGGTGACAGATCCAGACAAGAGGAGAGGCATCTCCATAATATTAAAGACCAGCTTGTCATCAATCGCTCTCAGTGGAACAGGGTGCTGGGTTGTTCAATTCAATTTTAATTCAGTTTATTTATATAGCGCCAAATTCACAACACATGTCATCTCAAGGCACTTTACAGTTCAACCAGATCATACAGTCAAATTGATACAAAGTTTTCTATCTAAGGAAAACCAGTTGATTGCATTGACTCATTGACTCTTCAGCAATCCCTCACACTAAGCATGCTTGTAGCGACAGTGGAGAGGAAAAACTCCCTTTTAACAGGAAGAAACCTCCAGCAGAACCAGGCTCAGTGTGAGCGGCCATCTGCCGAGGCCGACTGGGGTTCAAGGAGACAGAAGCAGAGGGACAAAAAGCAGCTGTATAAGGCGGCCCGTCCAGGAAACACACAGCCAGGCAGACGAGCTCCAAGGCAGCTCCCATGCCAGAGGACGAAGAGAGCACATCCACTCAGTCACGGTCAGAGAAACAGGACCACACTGGAAAACAGGCCGATCTCCAACATCTATAAAAAAGGGTGTTGATAGAAGCAGCACAGCTGATGTTTCTTTCCAGGATGACGTCACAGCCAAACAGGAACAGACGAGGCAAAGCTACTCTGAGGAAAAGCAGAGAGAGCAGAAGGTTAGAGATTGAACTAACAGATTCTGCAGAATAGGAGAACAGAGAGAGAATGAAGCAGAATGATGAAATGGCGGTCCCTATGTCCTCCAGCAGTCTAAGCCTATAGCAGCATAACTATAGAGATAGATCAGGATAACCTGAGCCACTCTAACTATAAGCTTTATCATAAAGGAAAGTTTTAAGCCTAGCCTTAAAAGTAGACAGGGTGTCTGCCTCACGGACTAAAACTGGTAGTTGGTTCCACAGGAGAGGAGCCTGATAACTAAAAGATCTGCCTCCCTAGGAGAGATATGATCTCTCTTTTTCATTTTCATCAGAACTCTGGCTGCAGCATTTTGGATCAGCTGAAGGCTTTTAACTACAGTTTGTGGACTTCCTGATAGTAAAGAATTACAATAGTCCAGCCTTGAAGTAACAAATGCATGGACTAGTTTCTCAGCATCACCCCTGGACAGGAGATTGCTCATTTTTGCAATATTCCTCAGATGAAAGAAGGAAATTCTAGAAACCTCTTTGATCTGGGATTTAAATGACAGGTCCTGATCAAAAACAACACCAAGATTTTTTACTTTATTATCTGAAATCAGTTTAATCCCATCCAAATGAAGTGACTGACTAATCAGCTTCTTTTTCAGAGACTCTGGTCCAAAGACTATAACTTCTGTTTTGTCTGCATTCAGAAGCAGAAAGTTAAGAGTCATCCAGGTTTTTCTGTCTTCAGACATGCCTGTAATCTATGTAATGGGTTAGCTTCATCTGGATTATAGACAGATATAGCTGGGTATCATCAGCATAACAGTGGAAATTAATCCCATGCTGTCTAATAACTCTACCGATTGGGAGCATGTATAAAGTAAAGAGAATTGGTCCTAGCACTGATCCCTGTGGTACTCCACAGGTAACCTTTGAGCGTGTTGAAGATCTATCATTAACGTGAACAAACTGAATTCGATCAGATTTAAACCAGTCTAGTGCTGTTCCTTTAATTCCAACAAAATATTCAAGTCTTTCTAAAAGAATATTATGATCAACTGTATCAAATGCAGCACTAAGATCCAACAGGACGAGCACAGATACAAGTCCATTATCTGAGGCCATGAGAATATCATTAGTGACTTTCACCAGAGCTGTTTCAGTGCTATGATGAGCTCTAAAGCCAGACTGAAACTCTTGAAAAAGTTCATTATGGTGGAAGTGATCGCAAACTTGTTTGGCAACTACTTTCTCAAGAATTTTGGATCAGAAAGGAAGATTGGATATAGGTCTATAATTGACCAAGTCATCTGGGTCAAGAGACGGTTTCTTAAGCAGAGGTTTAATTACAGCAACATTAAAAGCTTTAGGTTGTTGTGGTTCTAATTGGCTGGCAGTCTCCTGAGCCGCCTTAAACTTCTTCAAACTGAGCTAGGAAGATCTGCACTGATTACTTCTGGCTAATGAAGGGTAAATGGCCCCAAAGGAGGCTCCAATGCACTTTATCACACACACACTGCTGGTGGTGAGCAACAATGTAGCCCTGAGGCACACTGGCAGAAGCAGGCACCACTGGGCCATCAGACCATCATCAGTAGGCAATGATTTGATGCATCCCATGACACAACGATTACATTTTTGAAGATCTTTCAAAGCAAAGACGTTAAATAGAGTCAGATTGATTCAGTGAGCATCAGAGGAACAATGAAGGTAGGTCCTGATTTACAGGGAGCCACAATTTGTTTGTTCACAGCGTAGGGACCAGTACAGTCCAAATAATATGTTTAAACTAGTTCAAACCAGTGTGCCTCTGTTTGGTTCCAAGGATGGAACATCCAGGACCTACAAGCTGAAGAAGAGAAAAGCCAAGAGTTTGTAAGTCATTAATGGTTCTTGATCTTTGCTTGGTCTTTGTTGTCTGTCCTTCGTTCAATGCCTGTGGTTGTTTTCTGTCTTGGACTTTTTTTAACTCTTTAGGGCTGCTGATATTCAGAGTCGCCTGGTATTTCTACAGAAATGGAAAAACTACTCTGGTTTTTGTGGCAACAGTTTAAAGAAAGCCTTAAGAAACAACCGGTGGGTTATAATTGGAATCATTTTGGTTTTCTTCAGTTCTGCAGGACTCTGCATTTTCGGTTTTATTTTTCTTTCTTTGGATTCAGTTCCTGTTTGTTACCTTGTCTTCTTCCTTGGGGAGGTAACTTTGCTTTGTCTTCCAGACCATCTGAAACGGAGGTAAAGAGGTGGGCAGAGAGTCTGGAAGCCCTGCTGGCTAATCAGTGTAAGACTTTCTATTTCTTTTTTGCCAAAGAGTAATTAGGGCAAGTGCCAATCAGCTCATAGTCTCACATTCTCATTGGACAGATGGTGTGGCAGTGTTCCATCACTTCCTGAGGTCAGAGTTCAGTGAGGAGAACCTTGACTTCTGGTTAGCAGTAGAGAAATTTAAGAAGACACACCCCTTTAGTAAGATGGCTGCGCAAGCTAAGAAGATCTACGACGAGTTTATTTCTTCATCTGCAGTGCGACAGGTAGTGCTTTCCATCAGCATTCCTCTGATTGGTGCTTTAAATGGTCATGTGACTCAACTTTTCCATCTCCAGGTCAATGTGGACTCGTTTGTAAGAGACTCAACCCATCAGAGCGTTAGATGTGATCTTAACCCCACATCTTTCCAGCTGGCCCAGGATCAGATCTTCAGCCTGATGGAGACTGACAGCTATCCACGTTTCCTCAAGTCCCGCATTTATGCCCAGCTGGCCAACCTCAGCACAGACACAGTACTGGGGTTGTCCAATAATAGTAGATCTGTCATCTAGTTGTGTTCCAGATCTTTGGGAGTCTGTGGTTGGCCTGCCATGGGGGCCAATCAGAGTTACATTAAGCCAGCTTGATTATGGGAACTGTAGAAAACAGAAGTTCTGATTAATGATGAATGTGTAAATACTTTCCTCCCGATTTTATCAAAGACTTAAATAACTGTACTTTCCTTTAAACAGGAACCTTAGTTTATCGGCTGATTCAATTAAATTCAATTCATTTTATTTATATAGAGCCAATTCACAACATCTGTAAAAAAAAAAAAAAGGGTGTTGATGGCAGCAGCACAGCTGATATTTCTCTCCAGGATGGAGTCACAGCCAAACAGGAACAGACCAGATGAAGCTACTATGAGAAAAAGCAGAGAGAGCAGAACGTTAGAGATTGAACTAACAGAGTCTGCAGAGTGGGAGAATAATAATAATCAAATTGTTTTTTTTATTAGTTTTTCATATTAAAGCAACAAACATCCCATCCAGGGCATAAAAACAAAACAAAACAAAAAGACTCCATAATTACATCACAACGACATCACAAACAAAAAAGAAAACTATCAACAAGACTATTACCGTGGATTGAAAACCAAAAACATTAGTATGAATAACAATCATAATAATAATAATTCCGCCAAAAAAAAAAAAAAATGCTGATTATGCTGAAGCAGATTGAACCTCGGATTCAAAATAGGAAATAAAAGGTTGCCAAATATGGAAGTATCTCTTAATGGTACCCTGTGACGTAAATCGAAGATTTTCTAGCTTTAGGTGTGCCATTACCTCCTCTATCCATCGTTTATGTGTCGGTGGTGCTGCCTTTACCCAATTAAATAAAATCAATCTCCTGGCCAACAGTGAAGAAAATGCCATTGCCTTCCTTTGAGCTGTCGTTAATTCTATCCCCCCCGGTGCCACACCAAAAATGGCTACCAGAGGGACCGGTTCAATATCTTTCCTGAAGACAGATGAGAAAGTTTTAAAGATTTCAATCCAGAATTCTTTGAGTTTGGGGCAGGACCAAAACATATGGGATGTGTTGGCTGGCACCTGTTTACATCTAGGGCAAGTCGGATCGGCTCCCTGAAACATTCTTGCCAGTTTGTCTTTGGTGAAATGAAGCCTATGTACCAATTTAAAATGTGTTAATCCATATCTAACACACACTGATGAAGAATGAATGTATTCTACCGCCCACCTCTATTCATTATTTGAGATGTTTAGCCCTAGTTCTTCTTCCCATTTTCGTTTTATATGCTCGAGGGATGGGGAAGTCATCCTTTGAATACCTATTCACCCCAGCTGCTCAGAACCCTCAACCCCCTGGGGGTAAGACCACTGAGCACCGAGTAGAACGTTAGAGATTGAACTAACAGATTCTGCAGAGTGGGAGAATAGAGATAGAATGAAGCAGAATGATGAAAAAGGGGTCCCTATGTCCTCCAGCAGTCTAAGCCTATAGCAGCAGAACTATAGAGATAGCTCAGGATAACCCGAGCCACTCTAACTAGAAGCTTTATCAAAAAGGAAAGTTTTAAGCCTAGCCTTAAAAGTAGACAGGGTGTCTGCCTCACGGACTAAAACTGGTAGTTGGTTCCACAGGAGAGGAGCCTGAGAACAAAAAGATCTGCCTCCCATTCTACTTTTAGAAATTCTAGGAACCACTAGTAAACCTGCAGATTGAGAGCGAAGTGCTCTGTTAGGAACATAAGGAACAATCAGATCTCTGATATCAGATGGAGCTTGGCCATTTAAGGCTTTATATGTGAGAAGGAGGATTTTTAATTCTATTCTGGATTTAACAGGAAGCCAATGAAGAGAAGCCAGGATAGGAGAGATATGATCTCTCTTTTTCATTTTCATCAGAACTCTGGCTGCAGCATTTTGGATCAGCTGAAGGCTTTTAACTACAGTTTGTGGACTTCCTGATAGTAAAGAATTACAATAGTCCAGCCTTAAGGTAACAAATGCATGGACTAGTTTCTCAGCATCACCCCTGGACAGGACATTTCTCATTTTTGCAATATTCCTCAGATGAAAGAAGGAAATTCTAGAAACCTCTTTGATTTGGGATTTAAATGACAGGTCCTGATCAAAAATAACACCAAGATTTTTTACTTTATTATCTGAAATCAGTTTAATCCCATCCAAATGAAGTGACTGAGTAATCAGCTTCTTTTTCAGAGACTCTGGTCCAAAGACTATAACTTCTGTTTTGTCTGCATTCAGAAGCAGAAAGTTAAGAATCATCCAGGTTTTTATGTCTTCAGACATGCCTGTAATCTATGTAATGGGTTAGCTGCATCTGGATTATAGACAAAAGATTGGATATAGGTCTATAATTGACCAAGTCATCTGGGTCAAGAGACGGTTTCTTAAGCAGAGGTTTAATTCCAGCAACCTTAAAAGCTTTAGGTACATATCCCTGTAACAGAGATAGATTAATCACATCTAAAATGGAGGAGGAGATCAAAGGGAATACCTCCTTATATAACCTGGTTGGAACTGGATCTAACATCCAAGTTGAAGGCTTAGACCCCGTCCACACGAAGACGAACCCTGGCCTAAACGCACAAATTTTTCACCAAACCAGCCTCTCATCCACACGTAGCCGGCGTTTCGGGGGTCTGTAAACGATCTTTTTTTTATTCAGCCTTCAGAGTGGGAAGATTTCGAAACGCCGTTTTCGCGTTTCCATCTTTACGCCCTAACCGCATTTTTTTTTTTTACACGCATGCGTCATAGCATCGCCTCTAAACACGCATGCGCGACACAGTATCACAACAACAATGGCGCCGTTGCTGCTAATGCTACTCACCCTGCTGTCGGGCTTACAACAGAATCTTCTTCTTCTGGAATATCTCCAGGAAGAACAGAGCAATATCGACATAGTTCAGCACCTGAATTTGACTTAACCACGAAAATGGACCCACAGGGCAACCATGTATAACTATTAGTGCGCATGCCCAACATTTTGTCGCTTATTTTTGCTTTGGCACCACAGCGCCACTTACAGGCCTGGCATACATTTTGCAGCGTTTTCATGCATTCGTGTGGACGATCACATTTATTTTACGTCTCCGTCTTTACGGGAAACGTTTTGGAAAATATCAGCGTTTCGTGTTCGTTTTGACTTCGTGTGGACGGGGCCTTAGATGAAGACAATAGTTTTGCTTACTCTGAAAGTTCAACTGGATCAAAGCAGTCTAAACCCGGTTCAGATTCCATGACAACCTCAGATGCGGCTCACCCTCCAGAGACAAACCAATCATGGATAGAGGAGTGCTTATGATCTTATTTTTAATAAGATCAATCTTATTTATAAAGAATCCCAAAGTAATTTCCCTCTGGGATTATTAAAGTATTTCTGATTCTGATAAAATCATTGCTTCTAAGAGCAGGTGGAATGGAAAGAGGAATGCTTATGATCTTACTTTTAATAAGATTGATCTTATTTATAAAGAATCCCATAAAATCATTCCTGCTAAGAGCAGGTGGAATGGATGGTTCAACAGAGCTATGGCTCTGGGTGAGTTTGGCAACTGGATTAAAAAGAAATCTAGGATTATTCTTATTGTCCTCTATTAATGAAGAGAAATATGCTGCTCTTGCTTTCAGAGATGGGAAGTAACGAAGTACAAATACTTCGTTACTGTACTCAAGTAGATTTTTCTGATATTTTTACTTTACTTTACTACTTATTTTTATGGCGACTTTTTACTTTTACTCCTTACATTTTTACACAAATATCTGTACTTTCTACTCCTTACATTTTAAAAAAATTGTCTCGTTACTTTAGTTTTGAATCAATACCAAATTCAATCTACCGTAATTGGATGGGAATTTACGTTGCATTTGACGCACCGCTACAAGATGAATCGACAGATTCGGCGGTATTCATTCACGGCAAATCATTGCAGCTTGGTGGCGGTGGCGTTAGCATAGTAGCATGGACGACGAGATGATCGAAAAAGAACACAACGGAGATCTAGTCCTATTGACAGACATCCATTTAAAATGTAGGCAGCGGCATGAAAAAAGTGGTTTCTACTTTTACTTTTATACTTTAAGTAAATTTACAAGCCTGTACTTTGTTACTTTAAAGAAGTTTAATCAGTACTTTCACTTTTACCAGAGTATTTTTTAACACAAGTTTCTGTACTTTTACTCAAGTACGGAAAGTGAGTACTTTTGCCATCTCCGCTTGCTTTTCAAAAGATCCTCTTATACAGCAGTTAACCATTTTTCCAGACTAGGAAGGACTCCCGCAGGCCCGTGGAGCGATATTTTCTCTCCAGTTTCCTAGCATTTTGCTACAAATTGAGCAGCTGTGCATTAAACCAAGCAGCCAGCTTTCTATTTTTAAGTTTTAATTTTTACAGGAGCTGCTTTGTCTAAGGCAGTACACAGAGAACTAGCAACCCCATCAACAAAATCATCAACCTGTGAAGGGGAATAAGCTATGCTTTTGCACTCTGCAGCACTGCTCAGCGACACAGAGGAGAGAGAAAGTGAAGCAGATTCTTTAAAATTTATAACTGCACTATCTGATAAAGATCTACTAAAATGTAACCTTCTTTTGGGGGAGGAGAACTCTGTTAAAGTAATCCTGAAGGTTATTAGAAAGTGGTCAGAGAGGACAGGGTTGTGAGGAAATACTGTTATTTCTTCACATTCTATGCCGTATGTCAGCACAAGATCCAAAGTATGAAGATGAGAATGTGTGGGACTATTCACATTTTGAACAAAGCCAATAGCGTCTAAGATAGCATTAAAGGCTGCTCTTAAGCTATCGCCTTCAATGTCAGCATGGATGTTAAAATCTCCCACTATGATGACCCTGTCAGTATTTAATACCAAATCAGAAAGGAACTCTGCAAACTCATCTAAAAATTCAGAGTAAGGACCTGGTGGACGATACAAAGTTACAAAAAGAAGAGGTTTTCTGGCCTTGAAATTTGGATCAGGGAAATTAAGGGTTAAATGTTCAAAAGAGTTGTAGGTATTAACTGTTTTGGGAGTAATCAGTAAGTCAACCTGGAAGATTGTTGCTACTCCTCCTCCTCGCCCAGAACTTCTGGGGATGTGAAAATTTAAATAGCTTGAAGGAGTTGCCTCATTTATGCTCACATAATCCTCTTGCTGCAGCCAGGTTTCTGTAAGGCAAAACAAGTCAATGTGATTATCACAAATCAAGTCATTAACTAGTAGACTTTTAGAGGAAAGCGATCTTATGTTAAACAGACCGCATTTCATTGTTTTAACTTTTTCCCCAATTAGAGTTAT